TGCCTCATTCCTCATGTACTGAAGGTGTTTCTTGTACACTAATGGCTCAACCACGCTTCCTATTACCCCCCCCCCCCCTCCCACCCCTACCACCACCACCTACATACTACCACCACCACCACCATAACAAACGAGCCACCAGCACCTACATACCACCACCACCACCACCGTAACAAACGAGCCACCACCACTACCACCACCATCTACCAACCACCACTATAAGAAGAGTGGCAGCGGTCAAGCCGTGCCTGATCCACTTCCCGCCAGCCACTTCCCTGGCCGCCACACCTCCACCACACTCACCACACCTCCACCACACTCACCACACCAGCTCTGTGTGGTGAGGGGCACAATACCTTTCGTGAATATATATTTTATACCTCTCTGGTCTTCTGTATAAAAATTACATTTGGAGAGCTATCTTGAGGTTATCTTGAGATGATTTCGGGGCTTTTTTAGTGTCCCCGCGGCCCGGTCCTCGACCAGGCCTCCACCCCCAGGAAGCAGCCCGTGACAGCTGACTAACACCCAGGTACCTATTTTACTGCTAGGTAACAGGGGCATAGGGTGAAAGAAACTCTGCCCATTGTTTCTCGCCGGCGCCCGGGATCGAACCCGGGACCACAGGATCACAAGTCCAGCGTGCTGTCCGCTCGGCCGACCGGCTCCCCGATCTTTGAGCTTTGAGTCGATCTCAATAATTTAGGTGTTTTATCTCGTCTATGCGTGCCGTATATGTTCTCTGTATTCCCTCTATTTCAGCAATCTCTCCTGCTCTGAAGGGGGAAGTGAGTACTGAGCAGTACTCGAGACGGGACAACACAAGTGACTTGAAGAGTACAAGCACTGCTAACTAGCTCACCCTAATGGCATTGTTAAGTATCCCACCCTACTAGAATTACTAAGTGGTGTAAGGTACTAGCACTGTTCTCTGGTCACCAGTACGAGGTCACCACTAGTCCTGGTGACCTGCAGGTGTGTGGGGCCTGTGTAACACTGTAAAAGTGTTTGGTTTAGTTTATTTAAAATATATATAGAATATGAGTCAGAGACAAGAATTTGGGAAGGCGTCAGTTTGTCCACCGGAAAGTCACACCTCTAAGAGTTAATGACCCCAAGTGACCTGAGGTCAGATCATGCGAATTTCACCTTACTTCTACTAATCTTATAATTGGAGCCTGGTAGCCTTCAAACATGCCGACGTTTAAGGAGTGGCTTGGTAGAGAGCCGGAGGCTATCTACTTGTGGGCGGAGTTAGCTACTAGGTTCCGCAATATATACTCGGAGAACTATCGATTCGAGAGCATTAACAAGACAGAAGACCAGGCCGCAGAGCAGGGGGACAACAGCCGAGACAGGCTGTCGGTCGGACGGGGGTGAAACTGCCTGACAGCTGCAGACTCTCCCCCCCCCCACCTCTATCCAGCTATAGGCAGACACTTGGTGAGTTGAGCAGTAAGGTGACTTGGTCGTGTTTTACAAGTGTTGTGTGATGATCAGGGGCAGTCAGTTGTAGTGTTCTCAAATTCTTGGTTGATGACTCACTTGGCATATTAAACTTGAACATTTGAGTTGCTTAAATTATGATAGTTATCATGTGAAATATAATTGAATCTATTATTTAAATGGTCTTTACTTTGTGCCCTAAAGTTTTGAGTTGAGGTGAGAAAGCCTCTGTGATTACTGGTTTCATGAGTTAATGACTACATGATAAAGATGGGACATACTAATAATGACCTTGATAACATCATTTGAGAATTTTGTGATACAGACAAGTTCCATTCCTTGTCCTGTAGGTAATGGTCTTGAATGGATGGTGGCAGCATTTTTTCTTCTACTATCTACTCTTCTACTTCTACTATCTACTCTTCTACTTCTACCTATCTACACCTCTCCCTCCACCCCTCTCTAAACTCTCACTTTCAACTAATGACCCTCCTCGCTCCTCCCACCTCTCTACCCCTCACCCGTAAACCCTCACTAATTACTTCACTATTCATTTCTTTCCTTTCGTTTTCTCTTATACGTTTGTGGCAATGATTATGTATCCTAGAGTTCTCTCTAGAGTTTCGGGTAACTGATCAAGTGACGGCGCCTAGTAGTCTTAGCACCTAGGTAGTCAAATACCTAGGTTACAAGGTGTTGAACGAGAGAGGTTGCCTTAGGAACTCTGGAGGGTGCTCTAGAATAGTTAGCTAACTGGGGACGGGATAACGGACTAGAGAGAGCTGTTTCCCCCGGCCTCGTTAGCTAACTGGGGGGTGGAATAATGGACAAGATAGAGCTATTTCCCCCACCCCCCGTTACAGTGTGACCACCCCCCAGGTGTGACCACCCCCCAGGTGTGACCACCCCCCAGGTGTGACCACCCCCCAGGTGTGACCACCCCCCGTTACACCCGGCCAAGCACCAGGAGCACCTCACTCTCACCACAGCTGCCCGCTCTTCACTTAAAGAGGAAGCTCTCTAAGGCCAAGACGTTTGTAACGCCATACTGGGATAGTATCCCCTGCTAGCCACACTAGCGGGGGCAATAACACCCACTAGCCACACTAGCGGGGGCAATAACACCCACTAGCCACACTAGCGGGGTTAATAACACCTACTAGCCACACTAGCGGGGTTAATAACACCCACTAGCGGGGTTAATAACACTGACCACACTAGCGGGGGAAATAACACCCACTGACCACACTAGCGGGGGAAATAACACCCACTGACCACACTAGCGGGGGAAATAACACCCACTGACCACACTAGCGGGGGTAATAACACCCACTGACCACACTAGCGGGGTTAATAACACACACTGACCACACTAGCGGGGGTAATAACACCCACTGACCACACTAGCGGGGGTAATAACACACACTGACCACACTAGCGGGGTTAATAACACCCACTGACCACACTAGCGGGGGTAATAACACCCACTGACCACACTAGCGGGGGTAATAACACCCACTAGCCACACTAGCGGGGGTAATAACACCCACTGACCACACTAGCGGGGGTAATAACACCCACTGACCACACTAGCGGGGGAAATAACACCCACTGACCACACTAGCGGGGGAAATAACACCCACTGACCACACTAGCGGGGGTAATAACACACACTGACCACACTAGCGGGGGTAATAACACACACTGACCACACTAGCGGGGGTAATAACACACACTGACCACACTAGCGGGGGTAATAACACCCACGACCACACTAGCGGGGGTAATAACACACACTGACCACACTAGCGGGGGTAATAACACACACTGACCACACTAGCGGGGGTAATAACACACAGTGACCACACTAGCGGGGGTAATAACACACACTGACCACACTAGCGGGGTAATAACACCCACGACCACACTAGCGGGGGTAATAACACCCACTGACCACACTAGCGGGGGTAATAACACACACTGACCACACTAGCGGGGGTAATAACACCCACTGACCACACTAGCGGGGGTAATAACACACACTGACCACACTAGCGGGGGTAATAACACCCACTGAACACACTAGCGGGGGTAATAACACACTGACCACACTAGCGGGGGTAATAACACCCACTGAACACACTAGCGGGGGTAATAACACCCACTGACCACACTAGCGGGGGTAATAACACCCACGACCACACTAGCGGGGGTAATAACACACACTGACCACACTAGCGGGGGTAATAACACCCACTGACCACACTAGCGGGGGTAATAACACACACGACCACACTAGCGGGGGTAATAACACACACTGACCACACTAGCGGGGGTAATAACACCCACGACCACACTAGCGGGGGTAATAACACACACGACCACACTAGCGGGGGTAATAACACACACGACCACACTAGCGGGGGTAATAACACACACTGACCACACTAGCGGGGGTAATAACACACACGACCACACTAGCGGGGGTAATAACACCCACGACCACACTAGCGGGGGTAATAACACCCACGACCACACTAGCGGGGGTAATAACACACACGACCACACTAGCGGGGGTAATAACACACACGACCACACTAGCGGGGGTAATAACACACACTGACCACACTTGCGGGGGTAATAACACACACGACCACACTAGCGGGGGTAATAACACCCACTGACCACACTAGCGGGGGTAATAACACCCTCGACCACACTAGCGGGGGTAATAACACCCACGACCACACTAGCGGGGGTAATTAGAGGAGAGGGGGTAGCCCCCTCCCCTCACTCCTCTTACACTGGTGGTAATCATGGCGGGAAAAAAATATTATTTTTTAGTGTGGTAAAGTAGCGTGGAGCGAGCGGCCCGGGCCGACCACTGACGATGTCTTCAGCCTTCTGACGCCCGCCAGGTAAACCCTTGTCAGGATACCCCTGTTTACCCCTCAAGGTAAACTGTGCCCATGACCGCTAGTAATCAGGCTTTTGGACGCATCTGCTCGCAGTTTGACGTATAAAATCAGAGTCTGGTTCATTGGCAATAACTACATAGTTGGTGCTATAATCTACTTCTATCACTGGTTAGGTTAAGCCTGCTTTAGGTTAAGGTTTGGTTAAGTTAGGTTACATTACGTTTGGTTACATTAATACGGTGTAATATTGACAATAAAGGGAAATATATAATTCAAAAACTATTTCAGCGTGCCCGATAATTCCGTTGAAAACCATTTCTTAAAAAATACGTTTTCGCCTTAAACTTTTTATATTTTAAAACAATGATTTGAAATACAATGTTATAACTTGAAAATAATCTCCGTTCAGGACAAATTTGCCAGTTTACATGTAGACTATTATTGGAACTGTAATATGCTTTGTGATCTCAACACACATGTTGGTCAAGGTGATGTTACAGTACACTTTCTGGCTTGCACCCACACCTGGTGGGTGGTGACGACCACACACCTGGTGGGTGGTGACGACCACACACCTGGTGGGTGGTGACGACCTATAAACCTACCACAAGGTACAACACAGTAAGGTCTACTCACCGAGTTTCTGGTTGAAGATCTTGTCGAAGTTGACCTCGCCCATCTTCTCCAGGTGTTTATGCATCACACTCCGCACGCTGAGGGAGACAACCACAACTTAACATCAGCTATCATCTCAATATCCACGCTGGCAGGGGAGCCCAAGCTCAATCCCCGCAGGCCTATATAAACACACACTATACTACCTGCTTGATGGGGTTCTGGGAGTTCTTCCACTCCCCAAGCCCGGCCCGAAGCTAAACCCGGTATACAAGAGGGTATATATAGGTATACTCCAGCGGTGTACACAGAAGGTATACCCAATTTTATACTTTCTGGCAAGAGACAGGAGCCGTAATATTTGTATATAAACTATAGAAAGCCAGCACAGGTAAACCTGAGGATAATGTAAAAGGAGACAAGAAAGAACAATGTGAGCTACAGAAGGTTCAAGGTACTGTTGACTCGACGCGGCACCACAGCCCATTATCGACTCAAATCGAGCGAGCATCGAAGCTTAGCTCACTAGCCTGAGTTCGGGAGCATTGGCCGCACCTGCTGCCACTGCCTGCTGAAGCAGTGACGGTGATGGTGAAGCAGTGACGGTGATGGTGAAGCAGTGATGGTGATGGTGAAGCAGTGACGGTAATGGTGAAGCAGTGACGGTAATGGTGAAGCCGATAGCCTGCATCTTTAAGACAGTTCACACAGCCTTCTGGGGGGGGGGGAGGACCGACCATTCTACCAGCTGGGAGAACACACACCTGACCAAGTGTTGAACACCAGGGTAACGGAGCACAGGTGGAGTAAGAGGTACAGGAAAACATAGACAACATAAAATTGTGATTCAGTTACCAATTCCAAAATAATAGAAAATATACTGCCAAGGAATGTGTAATTATGATTTGGATTGTAAACTTGACTTTTTAGTTTGTCTTAAGAATATGTTATTGAAAAGGATAAAGTTTGCTCACTCAATAATACGTAACCTGGAGTGCTGGAGTAACACTCGTACTGGAGTGAACGATATGGAAGAAAATGCAGAATAGAACCAGTGAAGAGCAGAGGTGCCATAGGCACAATCAGAGAACACTGTATAAACATCAGAGGTCCGCGGCTGTTCAACGTCCTCCCAGCAAGCATAAGAAATATTGCCGGAACAACCGTGGACATCTTCAAGAGGAAACTAGATAGTTTCCTCCAAGGAGTGCCGGACCAACCTGGCTGTGGTGGGTATGTGGGCCTGCGGGCCGCTCCAAGCAACAGCCTGGTGGACCAGACTCTCACAAGTCAAGCCTGGCCTCGGGCCGGGCTTGGGGAGTAGAACAACTCCCAGAACCCCATCAACCAGGTATCCTTAGACAAGAACCCACTAGTCTTGAAGAGTTAATGGTGGTCATGGTGGGAGGAGAGCAAGAGTTGCCATTACGGAGATGGGTATAAATGGTGGTGGGAGAGCAAGAGTTGCCATGTACGGAGATGGGTATAAATGGTGGTGGGAGAGCAAGAGTTGCCATGTACGGAGATGGGTATAAATGGTGGTGGGAGAGCAAGAGTTGCCATGTACGGAGATGGGTATAAATGGTGGTGGGAGAGCAAGAGTTGCCATGTACGGAGATGGGTATAAATGGTGGTGGGAGAGCAAGAGTTGCCATGTACGGAGATGGGTATAAATGGTGGTGGGAGAGCAAGAGTTGCCATGTACGGAGATGGGTATAAATGGTGGTGGGAGAGCAAGAGTTGCCATGTACGGAGATGGGTATAAATGGTGGTGGGAGAGCAAGAGTTGCCATGTACGGAGATGGGTATAAATGGTGGTGGGAGAGCAAGAGTTGCCATGTACGGAGATGGATATAAATGGTGGTGGGAGAGCAAGAGTTGCCATGTACGGAGATGGGTATAAATGGTGGTGGGAGAGCAAGAGTTGCCATGTACGGAGATGGGTATAAATGGTGGTGGGAAAGAGGTGCCACACACACACACACACACCAGGCGACACCTGACCTTCCGTCGCTCAGCCCGAGGTAATGGTGGCAGCGGTGGGATCAATACCCAATACACAACTATGGCAAAATATTTTTCTTCCTTCATACCACATTTGGCATGATGTGTCCCCCCCCCCCTCCCCCCCCAGCTTCTCTACCTCTCGTGTACACGAGGTAGAGTGTTAAGAAATTTATTAACAGAAGATATACATTGAGAGTCAGGCAATTAGGATATAAATGCAACAGGTTCAGACCCCCAAGGGTCAGTCCTTTGATCTGTTATTTTATATATATTTTTAAAGGACTTATGTTAAAGGAGATGCCAAGCTAATGAGGACTACACAGAAAACTACATTCAGGAAACTACGTCTTACTCCTGGAGGATACCTTGAGGTGCTTCCGGGGCTTAGCGTCCCCGCGGCCCGGTCGTCGACCAGGCCTCCTGGTTGCTGGGCTGATCAATTAAGTCTGGGTGCCACAGACCAGGACCGGGTGCCACAGACCAGGACCGGGTACCACAGACCAGGACCGCGTGCCACAGACCAAGACCGGGTGCCACAGACCAGGACCGGGTGCCACAGTCCAGGACAGGGTGCCACAGTCTAGGACCGGGTGCCACAGAACAGGAACGGGTGCCACAGACCAAGACCGGGTGCCACAGTCCAGGACCGGGGGCCACAGACCAGGAACGGGTGCCACAGTCCAGGACCGGGTGCTACAAAACAAGACCGGGTGCCACAGTCCAGGACTGGGTGCCACAGACCAGGACCGGGTGCCACAGACTAGGACCGGGTGCCACAGTCCAGGAACGGGTGCCACAGACCAGGAACGGGTTCCACAGTCCAAGACCGGGTGTCACAGACCAGGAACGGGTGCCACAGACCAAGACCGGGTGCCACAGACCAGGACCGGGTGCCACAGACCGGGACCGGGTGCCACAGACCAGGACCGGATGCCACAGACCAGGACCGGGTGCCACAGACCAAGACCGGGTGCCACAGACCAAGACTGGGTGCCACAGACCAAGACTGGATGCCACAGACCAAGACTGGGTGCCACAGACCAAGACTGGGTGCCACAGACCAAGACTGGGTGCTACAGACCAAGACTGGGTGCCACAGACCAAGACTGGGTGCCACAGACCAAGACTGGGTGCCACAGACCAAGACTGGGTGCCACAGACCAAGACTGGGTGCCACAGACCAAGACTGGGTGCCACAGACCAAGACTGGGTGCCACAGACTAAGACTGGGTGCCACAGACCAAGACTGGGTGCCACAGACTAAGACTGGGTGCCACAGACCAAGACTGGGTGCCACAGACCAAGACTGGGTGCCACAGACCAAGACTGGGTGCCACAGACCAAGACTGGGTGCCACAGACCAGGACTGGGTGCCACAGACCAGGACTGGGTGCCACAGACCAAGACTGGGTGCCACAGACCAAGACTGGGTGCCACAGACCAAGACTGGGTGCCACAGACCAAGACTGGGTGCCACAGATCATAAACTAAGCACCACAATCCAGGCACGTGTCACAGACCACAAACATGAAAATATATTGTATTACCGTACAGTTAACTTAATTAAAAATATGTTTCCTTGCACATTTTCCAAACTTAAGGCCAGAGTGAGTGCGGTGAACACGGTAACTTAAATCCTCTGTGGTGTACAGGATTCTGAAGTTGGGATAGGAACTGGGACCAGTTTTGACGTAAGAGTCAAGCCCGGCCCGAGGCCAGGTTTGACTTGTGAGAGTTTGGTCCACCAGGCTGTTGCTTGGAGCGGCCCGCAGGCCCACATACCCACCACAGCCCGGTTGGTCCGGCACTTTTTAGAAAACTATCTAGTTTTCTCTTAAAGATGTCCACGGTTGTTCCTGTATATTTAAACCATGTTTTCCTCCTTAACACGAGTCTCTTATTGCTTCTCTCACACAGGTCTCAAGTTACTGCTCGGAGTAATGGAGGCGAGCAGTCAAGGACGATGTTCAACCTGGACCATACCTGCAGAGGGTTTCGAGAGTTCTACTTCCCGAGGCTGGTTTTGGTTGTCATCGGTCGACTTAAGACTCCATCCTGGGCTGAGGCTGACCGGTGCTTTAGTCTCCAGATTAAGGTCAATACTCGGTGTAAACAAGGTGGGAACAGCTCTAATTACCACCGTCAGTTTTACCTACATACCATCATAAATCATCCTCACTCTACACCACACAAAAATATATATTAATTACGGTTAGCTAATTTTTGTAAACAACAAAGCATTGTTCATTTGGTTAATAATTCCACTTTATATGCAACTACAACAATAACTCATTTTGCTGTGTCTGCACACAAAAATGGACATTAATTATAGTGACTAAGCTTTTACAAGCATCAAATGGTCTATAATGAGCGGGAGCGAGAGTGTGTTTGATGAAGGCTTGGTCTTTAATCTGTCACCTACGTCACACAACACCGTGACGCACACGCTAAACTTAACTTACACTCCCCGCACACCTCCCATATGAGCCACACGGACGGTAGAAAGAACTTTTTCAGTGTCAGAGTAGTTAACAGATGGAATGCATTAGGCAGTGATGTGGTGGAGGCTGACTCCATACACAGTTTCAAGTGTAGATATGATAGAGCCCAATAGGCTCAGGAACCTGTACACCTGTTGATTGACGGTTGAGAGGCGGGACCAAAGAGCCAGAGCTCAACCCCCGCAAACACAACTAGGTGAGTACACACACACACACCTTCAAAATCGCTTGTAAATACATGGATAGCGAAATATAATCACGAAATATAAGCTATGATATAATCACTACATACAAGATAGTAACAGAAACAAGGATGGTGAAAGAGACAGAGAGAGGAGAGAACGGAATTATCAGGGGAAAGCGCCAAGTCATTACGACTATATAGCACTAGGAAGGGGTCAGGATATGGGATGGGACGGGGGGAAGGAATGGTGCCCACCCCCTTGGACGGTTGGGGATTGAACGCCGACCTGCATGAGGCGAGACCGTCGCTCTACCGTCTAGCCCAATTGATTGAGAAAAGAAAAAGAAAAAGAAAGAAAGAAAGAAAGAAAGAAAAGAGAGAGAGAGAGAGAGAGAGAGAGAGAGAG